AAATCGGGCAGATATCCTTTGAGGCTTTTTCACACCTCAATAGGACCTATCGATCGGCACATGAACGGACGAAATCGGATTCCGGCACCTGGGAATGTTCCCTCGTAAGTGAGAAAAAGTCCTACACTTTAATGCGTTAATTATCCATTAAATATGCATTAAATGCATTAGTTATGTATTACTTGTATTAATATCTATTAACTATCTATTATCTATCAGTTAATATTAAGTTTACCTACTAGAATAAGAGGATAGACGAATAAAAGAATAGAGGAATAGCGCAATAGAAGAATATTTTGTGAGAGCACATTGCCGACGCTGAAGTGTGATTAGTATGCATTGCAACTGTATCCATGGCTACGTTATAGTTTGTATATTATGATTGGTTGTTAAGAAACAAACGGCTTTTGTATACTGTAACTTACGATAACTCCATGGTTGTGGCATGGCATCCTGCGAGCGCCAGACTGACTCCTCTGACTCCTGATAATCGCATAAACTGAAAATTAATAACTCAGTCAAAAGTGACGCTGACTACAGAGAAGGGCGAGTACATGGATTTTTGAGGACGAGTACGAGTATTTTCTGAAAAGTACTGGAGTAGTACTCGAGTATTTTTTTTTCTGAAGAAGCCGGTTCTTCGAAAAAAATTAATTTGAAAAAATTTTCGAATAAACCGATGTTTTGATACGCAAATAGTAAAAAAAGGCAACCAGTTTTTTGGGAAGTACTCGAGTATTTTTTGGAATACCCGTTAAAAAAAGTTCCGAGTACGAGTATGCGTACGAGTACTAGGAATTTTGTACTCGAGTATACTCGTACGCGGCCATCTCTGACTGACTACTTCAGACCATCAAGATACACTCAGTTTTATCCTATACCCTAGAATTCAGTGATGTTTTAAAAATCAGTAGTAAGTACTCAGCGTTTTGCAAAGACTTTCTGGAAATGTTTGGAAATAGTAAAGATTTTATACTAATCTTAAGTAGGGAACCGGGTTGGGATTAGGTACTCTTCTACTATTCTAATATTCTACTATTATACTTTAATAGTAAAAGACTATAATAATTATAGTCTTTTAATATTCTAATGATTTCTATCCAACAACTTAATTCGTAATATAATGAAGTAATGCACTACTAATATGGCTTAAGATGTTCTTCTATTCTACATGGTATCATACAGTTCTAAATGCCCAATATAATACTAAACCAAGTGAAAATTCCTATCTAACGGTAATTCGCCTAACCTCTGACTAAAACTGTTGAAACTTTCATAAATGATATGGTTTTGATTGGCACACACATGCCAGTCTACTAAACTAAGCGAAATTATATAACTTAAATGTTTTGTAACTGCGATTTTTAAGGTCTCTGGAGATCTCAGCATCTACAGCCAGCTTGCGTGGATATTTCCGCCATACTTAAAAATAGTTACCACAAAGTTAACTAACTGATAGTTACCATTTTTTTAACGGTAACTGTATTTTCAGTTAGCGTTAAATCAACGCAACGGGAACTTTTACAGTCCTACCCTTAACCGTACACTCCATAAAGCGGCATGATTGTTCCTGAAAATTAGTTGTAGTATCTAGATAATTTATAAGTTTTCCTCTCTTCTTCTACCAGAATATTGTACATCCTAGCTTACGAAACTAGCGAGAAAGAAAAGGCTGTTTGGTCGAAAAACCCTCCTCAGAATTCTGAAAAGAAATGTCTGAAACAGGACATCGGTTGCAGTAGATCATTACTTTTGGAATTGGTCTGAGATGAAGGTTTTATAGAAGCTTTGTGGTTTTCAAAACTCTCCTTTTTGGTTTACAGAATCTGTATCTTTTTCAAATGTGTTGACAAATAAAAAATTCATCTAAAACAGGACGTTGTTTCATTACAAGGAATGTTCCAATACAAATGATCAATTCTGTCGATTATGTGTGAATTATCATCCTGATTTGACATTAGCCTAAGCCACATTGGCCTGATTAATTCTAAATTGTACTTCGGACTAGTCCAATCTTAGATTTGCCTGGTGTTTCCAGTCCAATGTCACACGTTGAACTGATACTTTTTATTACATTTTACTTTGGAGTAGTTCATACTGAAATTTCACTTACGAGGGAACATATCCAACTGTCAAATCGCTTTTCTAACGAAATGCGGTAGCTTATAGGTAATCGATCATGCTGATTTCGAATATGATAGCCGTTTTGGCTCATAGGTCTTTCCTAACCGGTTTCTGCAAAACCAGATTTCCAGAAACTTCACAATATCTCCAAGAATTTTTTAAATAGGTCACAACTGTAGCCCACGAAATTCTGATTAAAATGAGACATCTCCCAGCTCTACACGATCTTTCTTAGCAAAGTTATGGAATTTACACGAAAAGCCCTAAATTCATCTTTCCTTCTTCTTTCTGTAGCTCTGAGGTGACAATAAACATTTAGGGCTTTTTATGTAAATTCCATAACTTTGCAAAGAAAGATCGTGTAGAGCTGGGAGATGTCTCATTTTGATCAGAATTTTGCGGGCTACAGTTGTGATTTATTTTAAAAAATTCTTGGAGATTTTTTGAGGGTGGAAAACTGGTTTTGCAGAAACCGGTGTAGACTTTGGACTAGTTGAAAGTGAAATTATACTTTGCTCTAGGCCAATATTACATTAGACTGAAGTTTACTTTGAATGCTAGCATATATATCTGCACTACATTAGTACGGAATCAATGGGAAAAGCTTTCAGAAACTGTGTCATAATGAAAAAGTGAGTGACTCAGATTGTCGACTCTATCAGAGGTGTTTCGTAATGGCAATGAATGAAATTTGCAAGGAGTGGAAGGATTGCTGTCCCGATGTGGAAACAGCAAAGGCATGTCGAAAGCCAGCTATAGATAAGAATTGTATGGTGTCTAGAAAGGCAATGAAACTTAGTCCATCTGCTGGGTAATAATAAACCAGACTACAGGACGTCTCGTCGGCCTGTGTGGTCCAGAGCAATTCAAATGTTTTTTTTCGCTTGACTGCACTTCACTTGAACTTGTTTTTGAACCGACTCGACTCGTTCCGTAACTGCCTACAGTGAATCTGAGCAATTTATATGAGCGAAAAATTGAGATTTTGAATATATTTTTCAAGAAATGTTTTTTTGGTTGTTAAAAAAGGTGCAATTAAAAAATGGCTGTTTAATGTGATATTCCTTAAAATAAGTCAGATCGAAAAAAATTTGATTAACTTCTTAAGTAAAATGGTTCTAAATTATTCAACTGAATTGACTTGTATTTGTGTTTCCACCGTCGTAAAATCGGCGTTCTGATGGCAGTTGTGGCTGTCTTCGTCGTCCTTGAACAGTGATAACAATGTTGAATATTGTTACACCCATCGATATGAGAATGACTACCATTGAACCAATTACAATAATTGTTACTCTCCAACATCCATCAGTATATCTTCCACATGTTGTTAGGGCAAAACCTATGCAGTGCAAAACAAATGCTACTATTAATACCATTAACTGCCAGACGACCAACATAAGTAAACTTGTCAAACTGTACACTTGTTGACGACACAGAATCAAGACGACTGTACCACAGTAGAGTGAAAAGAAACCACTGATGAAACCCATGAAGAAACTACAAAAGACAGAAAGACACAAGTAGATCTAATTAGAAATCAGCTTTTATGCTGAAAAGTTCTTCCCCATCTCTGTCAGGAAACTCTTTTGTAATGCGCCATCATTTACTGCAGTATTTTGTCTCAGTCTGCTAGTGTCTAGACTTTTACGTACCTGTAAGTTAATGAATGATTTATGACAAGACCAATGTTGAAACCAATTAATAATAGACCAATTATAATATAACAGATACCAGTTACGGTTAATTGATCTCGTAATGACTGCGGTATATCTGCTAAAAGATGCATGTTGACGCTCGTTAATGATGAGGCAGGTGGTGGTACAGTTGCCATTGCAATCGGCATAAACTGAACAGCAGGGGCCTGCTGCTGCTGCGTATCGTACTGCACTGTATACTGTGGTGGTACCGGTTGTTGGGGATTTTGTTCCATACTTTTTTTAAGATAATGATTTTCTATTTCGCTGAAATATTTTGTGTGTTGTATGACTTTTTGCTTCCAGATAATGACACGCA